TACGTACCGATTTTTGCGCTCTGTAATTGAATGAAATTAATATCATTCAACAGTAACATTTTTATACCTCTAAAAAATGAATAAGCCCAACCCTTTACATTCTTCCATGTATAAATAGTCATTTTATTATAAATATATAATCATAGAAAAAAATATTGTATCTGAATAGTTATGTGATACTATATATATGTGTGCTGAATGCTGTTATAAATCTGCAAAAATAAAATGACTATTTATACATGGAAGAATGTAAAGGGTTGGGCTTATTCATTTTTTAGAGGTATAAAAACGTTACTGTTCTAATCTTCTATATTTAGAAGATTAAAAATAAACCTTATTAAAAATAAAATGAAGGATAAGGCTAAGAATTTAAATCTTATTAAAAATCTAAAATGTTATATCATGATTAAATGATTAAGTATTCTTGTAAAATATGTGGCTTAATATAAGGAATTTTTATTATACTGCCGTGTTATTTCGACGATATATGTATATTCGATGTGAAACGGCATACACGCTTGAAAAAAATATACATACGGGCGGATAATAAGACTTTGCCGCGTCTATTTAGACGGAAGCTGCCAATTAAAGAAGTAGGGAGAAGATCTTAAGGAGCCGACGATGGATCGTCGAGAAGCCGAATTGTTTCATTGACGAGCGAGCATTCAGGTCGAGGTAGGCGGGAAACAAGAAGTGGGAGGGAGAAGCGGGTTATACATTAGATGTTACGGCGTTTACGCTCGCAACCCTCCTTCGGACCGTGCCAGTCGATGAATGGTATAATCAGCGGTCGCGTGGCACCCCCGTGCTCTCGACGAGGGCCGTGCAGGAGAGTAAGACGAGGAATGAAAACCCCTCCCACTCCGCTCCACTGTTCCCCCTCCCTCCCCCCGCCGTTCGCCCCCGTGATGTTGGAATCGCGAAAAATCACTTAGCCCACCCCGTCGTGTTTTGTGCCTCGAAAGTATTCCCTTTCTCAATTCTTCTGCACGCAGAATTTTCGATCCTTAAAACGCAAAACAATCCTTTCTAAAGAGGATATTTTTACAGCAGAACAATTATATGCTCTTATAAATAAGAAATTAAAAAATAAACTCTAGGAGAGGAAAACTTAAACAACATATAACTGTGCCAAATTGAAAATTGAATTGATATTCAGCGAGTAATAATTATATAGGTATGGCATAGATAAAAAGTTAAAAAGCAGAAGTAAAAGTTTCCGTAAGAAGAGTCTAGTGACATAAACATATAACTAGTCGAAATTTTGAAATCAAATTGACAAATTGATGTCAAACCTCTACGGGTGAGTGTGGCATATTTTCAACGTTCGAAACTCGGGATCTGTGCAGATTATTGTAGTTACACTTGAAAATTGAAAATGGAAATGTATGTATAGTATTGAACATTGAAATATAATGCTTCTCACCCGTCAAAAAGGCTATACGTCGATATATCAATATACAATATACATTATATCAAGTAAATATATTTTGATAGTCTTCATGTACTCTTCATGTATTCTTTATGTGCAAGTTATTTTTTAATAAATCAGTAAAAAAATCGTTTTTAATGATAAAACAATTCCGCCTTTAAAAAGTTAAAGTAATAAATTAATAATTAATTTCAAAATTGTGATCGATCGTCTTCCTTGAAAATATATCGATTGTACTAGATTGTACTAGAGACCTTTTTATACGCTTTTTATCTCAGAGAAATCTTCTGCAGAAGGTTGGAAAAAATTCGCTGAATGATACGGCCATTTCGAGGGAAGATCCCTTAATTATTTCGTACTGTACCATGAATGCGGCGGGGTCCCGTGTCGATTTGACGTTGAATTGACCCGAAAAAAAAGACACCGCACATCACACCCCTCGCACTGTCGGCTCTTGTCGGCGATGTGCGATAAAAGGCGCGTTCACGCCCCGTGAATGACAGAATGTATGACGAAGAGACGAGGGCCGATAAAGGGTCCCCAAAACGACAGTCGATCGCTGCAGTATCTCGCTCATTGACGGACACCGTTGGAGAGAGCGAATTTATTGTGCGGTTAATAATGGGGCCCGCGTGACAGTCGATCGCGCCCGTTTATCTACTCCGGAGTAGATGATCCTTCATTACACTACCCCGAGGAATACGGTGTTTGTTCCTTGTCACATCGGACTAACTACAAATTGAAGCGTGTAATTCAAAAAAGATCTGACACACGAGCGAGTTGTACCGAAAATTCTGAGATTTCATAAAAATTTAGAAAAATTATTTCTTAAAAAATAATTATTTCCTTTTAAGTCTCTCTCTCTCTCTCTCTCTCTCTCTCTCTCTCTCTCAGCTCTCTCTCTCTTTTTTGATCAATTTATTTGCTTCCATCGCTGAGAAAAATAATCTGATTGTCATCAACAAAATGCACATGATTGAATAAATTTTAGCGAAACCAAACAGAATTTCTGATTCTGGTAATAAGAGGATTTGATATTTTGTAAGAATATTTGAGAATGATAGCTTTACTTTACGAATTTGATTAATATTTTCCAGTTGAATCTATAAAATCTTATAATTATATCTTCTGGTCACAATAGACACTCCTCGCAAGTAGTACGCTGCATCGTTACGAAAACACGGCGGATTCAATATCTCGTACTTAATAAAAATCACACAGAAGAGACTAAAAGGCGCAACAATCATGAAATTTTTCATCATTCCCAAAATTGGGATCGAAGAATAGATCGAAGAAAATCGAAAGTAACTGAAAAATATAATTTAATAATACAATTTTGATAATACAATTTCTGTACCAAAATTAATTTAAAAATAATAATAATTCCTAGAAGTTAATATATACTAATATATATTAATATAAGAGACTCAATTATACAATAAGAAATACTAATATATTTAATGGAAACAATTATTCAATCAACAAAAAAGTCTGGTAGATTTTACAGGAAAGAATTAATCATACTCTCAATCGTCTAATAAATCCTAAACAAGAATTCTGATTCATCGACTTTCAAACAGATTACTGATATACTGATTGTGAATCGAATCTATCAGATTTCCAATTAATACAACTAGATTCTTTTTCCAATATAACAATTTGTATTTATATCTTAAATTTAAAAATCATACTTTTTATTTCTTTGAGCAAAAATATATTTTCGTATATCTTTTAGAAATGTGATATTTTTTTCATTATTAAAATAATTTGTCGAAATTACTAATTTGCAGAAAATTTATAAAATTTGCGTCTGCAAGCATATTTCTCCTTTTTTAAAGAGTTACTACACAATCATGTCTATGCAATTTTTTCGCGCTTATATTTTATATATTATATTTTATTCCAAATTCGTTCATTTACATAACTCAATCATTTTTAAGTTGCTTATAAAAAAGGAACGAGATAAAGAAAAATCTGAAAAGTGCATATTTTTATTCCTCTATAATAATAATTAGTTATTGCATCAAAATTACATTTCAAAATTAATATTATGAAATTCAAAACTAATGACTCAAACTCATTTTCTTATTTCGTTTTCTGAGTTGTGTCAAACGTACGTTGTTGCGGCAAACGAGCGATACTTACAAAAATAAATTTTAAAAAATGCAACTCATTTCTTTCATTCTTTCGCTGGTTCAGCAACCAGCTCGATCTCCTTCCGCGGCGTGACACAGATTCGTTTTTCTGCGGTAGATGAATATTCCTACGCCTTCCGGAAATTCAATGGCGACGGCGCGGTCGCCCCCCTCTTTATGGCGACCGGGAGATGTTGTCGCCCGCACACCAGCCCCCTTGTCTCGTTTTATACCTTCTCTCTTTATCGCCTTATCACTCGAGACGTCTTCCAGCTCCCCTCTCTCCGCCACAGCCTTCTCGTTGCACCTTCTCTTTCTCTCTCTCTCTCTTTCTCTCTCTTTCTCCGTGACAAGACACTGCCGCGACTGATAACATTTATTATAAGACCTGGCCTTCTATGCCTCGCCTTCCACGCTCGTGTATCTCTGCGGCGGACAAAGCGAGAAAAGAAATTCCTTGCCTTGATGACGAAAGTCGGCGGCTGATCGGCGAACGCATCAGCGACATCATTTCGTACACCTTTTGTTCAACTCCGGGGCTTTTTTTACCTTTTGCGCGATTTTATTATTGCCAGCGTGCAAACGCCATGCTATATTGATATTCACTTCTAGTTGTTACACATAAGTATCTACTAATGCGATCGCTGTAATGGGCTTTTACTTTATATTACGCTTTGCTTTCATTAAAAATTTCTGAAGATACTGAAATACCTTGTACCTTTTTCAAGACCATTATAATACGTCGTTCTCTTCTTTTACTGATAAAACAAAATGATATAATTAAATGTTTTATCATACGTCAAAAAAGAAAAAGATTCAGGAAACATATAGGAAAATTCTGTCGGTCGAAACAAAAAGTTCGGACTGCGCCTCGAAAGTCCCGCGACTACGGACCTTTCCACCCTTTCCATCTCCGCCGTATAGTCCTCTCGCCTCCCCTCTATTCGCCATTGTCTTCGAAAGTATCAATGGACCGGGTGCACCTGGCTGACCACCGACCGAAAGGCGGAGAGGTCAAAAAGGCGAGACCGCGGCGACGGCGGCGGCACGATAATCCGTAGGACAAACGCACCCAACACTCCCCGCCGCGTCGCGTCGCGTCGCGTTGTCTTCGCGAGCGTGCGGTAGGAGGGAGCAGAAAGAGGGAAAGAAACAGAGGAGATAGAGACCTACTCTCCACCTGTTGCGCGACCCGTGTATCCGCTCTGGACCGCCATGCCCGACACGCCGGCCAATCGCGGCCGCCCATTGGCCGCGCCAAACAGTGGGGGAGAGATCCTCGGCGCCCGATTGGCGCGCCGTCTTACTTCACCCCACGTCCCACGGGAGCGGGAGCCGCACCGGCGAAAGCTCCGTCCCGCGGGTTCGCCCCAGATGCTACGTGCTTCACGAAGTTCCTGCGGGAACCCCCGCGATTCTGTCAGTGCACCAAAGGGACTCGTGTCTATCGCATCCAAGCTCTCGCTCGAAAAAAAAAAATATATATAGATTACGTCACAGAAGCGCACAACTGTCCTGAAAGAATTGCTGAGGTATAACTGTAACTGCATCGTGATGACTGAAAGAAGATTCCTCTCAATTGAGAAAAACCTCCGGTTGACAGATCAGTTTGGTTCATCGTGAAATTATTCAGGGACACAATCAAGAAGCACAAAATCCTTCGCAAAGGGGGATCCAGTGATCAGGCGATTGCAAATTTATTCCGAAGAATTCGGCGATTAAGAAGATTTGTAATATCATTCCGATGTAACTGATAATTCAAGACACTCGTGTTTTTTGGAAATATTTTGGATTTCTGAGAAATGCACGATATTTTTGGAAAGCGCTCGTCGTCCTTGAGTGAAGATTCGTCAAAGATTTTCAAGACATTGCCGTCGCTCATGAGCGTAAACATTCATTTTTTAATTGGAACATCCAGTTTTTTGTGGAACCTATTAAATATTGGTAAATAGAATCACTCGGAGAGAAAACTCCCGAAATACCCCGAATCGTCGAAAGATATCTCAATTGTTATTTTCGTGCAGTGAATGTGTGAATCAATTTGTAAAGTTCGAAGACAGAATGATCTAGATTGATCCCGAAAAACTAAAGTTAGTTAATGTTGACGACACATCATACTCAAGCATCTACCAAAGGAAGCTAGAAAAGATCTTATTTAAGAATCTTATCGAAGGCTACAGGTAAAGATATTTAAAGTATTTAGAAAGAATTCTATTAAGAAATTGTAAGATCTTCGGAAAAACACGTCAACAGGATGTATGAGGAATTATCTTGTCCACTTGAGATAGAAGTGGATCAATACTGTCAAGCTTTCAATCCATCGGAAGTCTCATTTATTCGCGAGGAAAGCAATTAGATTCGAACATCGACAGGACAGCAAGAGAACGACTCATGGATATGTCATCTAAAACCCTACATAACGAGCATATTAAACGGCCGATGAATGCCTTTATGGTGTGGTCGCGTGGTCAGCGTCGCAAAATGGCACAGGAAAATCCGAAGATGCACAATTCGGAGATATCAAAGAGGCTCGGCGCCGAGTGGAAGCTCCTAAGCGAGAGCGAAAAGCGTCCGTTCATTGACGAGGCAAAAAGATTGAGGTGAGCCCCACACATGATGAATGGAACACACGCTGAACACACTTATCTCATATTGAAAAATTGACATTAATAATGACTAACTCCGGAAATTTGTTTTTTACTTAACTAACTTGCGGAATTAAATTAATTTTAAAGTGCATATTTCTCTTACACATAAACTTAAAAATATTTATTGAAGATTTACTTTACTAGTTCTTTTCTGTGTCATGCTTTTTTAAGACTAAAACTGAATATATTTATTCAAACTGAATTTATTGTTTTATTGTTTATTATTATTATTATTTATTATTAATTTCAGACTATTTTACTTTCACAAAATAAGCGATATATATATATATATATATATATATATATATATACTTCTCTAATTTTTTAATAATTTCACAATATATGTATGGGTTTAACAAAAAATTATAAGAAATGATTTGTATAATATTATACCGATTATAACATAAATAGAAAATAATTTAAAGGTAACTATTTAAATCTCTTTATATCAAATCTCTCTTTCATTATTACTTTACTCTTTATTTTCTATTTATGATGTAATAAATCATTGCATTCTCAAATTATTCGTAGGTTATATTGATGGATAATAAATGAATTATAAATGCACAATTTAATGAGAATAAGTGATGGAATCAATAAATTAACGAAGTGAATAAACAAGTAGATCGTTTCTCCACTTCTTTGAAAGCATTTGGTTCATTTCTGCACAAAGAAAGTAGCTGATAATAAAGATAATAAAGATAAATATGAGAATTTTGATAAGACAACATTTTGAAAATTATATTACGTGTGATAAGAAGCTTGCAATTAGAAAATCTTATCACCTGCAGAATTAGGATTACACCTATGAAACAAACTAAGTTGTTAAACGCTTTAATTTTCAAACACTTAAAACAGATCATTTTGCATGTTACAAATTAATAAATATTTTTAATTACGATTTAATAACAGTATTTCAATAATATTGTCAAGATACGCGAGTTTATATAAAATTTGAAAAAAAAATTGTAAAATAATTCACACCTTTTTTTTATCTCTTCAATTAATTACTTATATATTTTATCAACGATTCGATAATATCTTACAATCATTTTCTCTATGAACAATGTGAAAAATAAATCTGCTCAATAGATATTATTTTATAGAATATAAATATTATTTATCGTTACACGTTAAACTTTTCTCTATTCCTTCTCTATAACAAAAATATTTATAACAAATGTAAAATATGACGAATAGAATAATTCGAGTCCTTTTACGGTAGGCAAACGACTACTTTCTTCATAGCGACACTAATTGCTCCTCAGTTGCGATAATATACTCCAGATGAGTGCGTTGATTGGGGTGTGGGGACCGTATCAGCCGAGCCAGAGGGGGGGAGGAGGGAGATCGAAAACGGCGGGAAAATGTGCCACGCGATCGTCTCGTACTTCATAATACAGTACATTGTCGCTGAGAAGGGCTTAGGGGCGCAATGCCCGCGCTAAGCCCGGGTCGAAATAGGGTGAGACATGACCGGTATTTATAGGGCGGACGAGACGAGCTCTTTATTACCGGCCCTGAATATTTAATCACTGTTATGAGTTTATTTAGCTCGCCGGAGCGGCCGCGCCGATTTCTCGAGGCCGGCGTCGACGGCGCCCCTTTAAAGGGCCCCCTTGAAAAGGAGGTCTCCTCGGCAATCTCCTCGCGAGAATCTTCCTCTAGAGTCCTCCTCGTAACGTCTTTTAATTTTGCGAGCCTTATTCGCGTAACGTTTTTGCAATCTCGTAAACGCAATCTCATCAAATGGGCTACCAGTATTAATTTTGTGATAATAATCAACGCGCGCTTGGAAAAAAAAAAGTTATCGTTTCACTAAAACTTTGTAAGTACCACGATATTATTTAATGTACAGTTTCTCTTTCGAAATCAACTTTGATTTGTTTTTTTTTAAGGAGATATTGCTAAAAATTTCGTGATTATATTTGCAAAATGACAGTTTACTTAATTAATGACATTCATTCTTCGATAAATAAAAGTCTTAAAGTCTTAAAAATTATATTGAAATGTACTAACCAAATTCTTGAATCTTTTTCCATAGGAACTACTTCAATATTTATCAAATATTTGTGTCTTTTTATAATTTTATAACAATCATATATTAATTCGATTAAAAATCGTAAATTATATACATTATTTCATTCGGCTACTTCACTTATTTACACGATCCAATAAATCTTTCAAACTAAATTTATGCTAAACTTTGTATTTGTGTATATTTATAGTTACACGATAATCAACATAACAATTTATAGGTTTATAACAATTGTATATAAGATTAAATATCGTTGTAAATTAAATTATTTTGTCCATTATTTACGCGATCCGACAAGTCTTCTAAAATCAATTTCTCTGCTAAACTTTTCGATAATACATGTCTTAATAACAAATCAATATCCGAAATAAAAATCGGTGCCGAGAGGAACGGGGACAGGAATAGGTTTGCGGGCAAGGTTGCGTGTGCAGATTAAATTTGGGAACGATCCCCGCTCTCTCTCTCTCGCTTTTCGATCTGGTCTCGGGGAACAAGATTTAAACTGATTCCACGCTCTAACCCCGTGCCCGCGTTGCAAAATATCCCGACCTCGATTTACATTCCACCCCGACGAGGAGAAAAAGAAAGAAGTAGGAAGAAAGCGAGGGGGGAAAAGGGGAATCGGGCGGATGTCCCGCGATGCCGTGAAAATTTTTCGACGAAATCGCGAGTAGTGAAACCGCGGTGCGGCGCGGCGGCGTCGTCTTAAATGGATCGCCGCGTTGAACAGATCGCCGTCGCACTCGTACGTAGAAAATGCAATCCGCCTCCCCCCCCCCCTCTTGATTGACGCGCTAGTGAGGCAACCGCGTCGATAAACGATAATTAATGAGCGACGACGCCCATCGAATGTGCAGCACAATTTGTCATATTTCAATCATTCGAAATCAATTGAATTTGCTTGATTCGATCAGTACATTTAATGCTTCAAACACTTTGCCCTATTTATCGTATTTATTTTACATGTAATAACGACACGTTTTGTTACCATTCGGTAATATTATACATTCGGGGTTATTAAATTCTCCTATCGGTCTCCCCGCCGGCCCCCTGCACTTGGCTTGCCAGCGATACAAAAGCGCAAACAAAAGGCCATATTTTTCTATCGAAAATTTCTGAAAGAGAAAGAAAACGAGGAGGCGAGGGACGCGGCGAGCGACGGCGAGTGAGGAGGAGGGCGGAGGGGGAGGGGGATGAGAGGTACGGGCAATCCGAGGGAAATTTCGACGCGGACGTGTAACGGCGAATCCGCTTTTCTGGCGGATGGCAGCGACGTCGACGACGACGGGAGTAGGGTGGCGGTCGTAAAATAAAAGGGGAGAGAAGGAGGGCGGGAAGCGGAAAAGGGGGGCTGTGGCGGGTGGGAAGCAAAGTCGTTCCCTTGGAGCGACGGCGTTCCTCTCGGGGATAGGAGCGGGCTTCCCTTGGACCCGCGCCGTCACTGGCCCGACGTAATCTGTCCGTTCGTTCACGGCGACTCACAATGTGGCCCCCGAGATAACAAATAAAGCCCCATTGTCGCAATTGTGTGGATTTAAAAGGATTTGCCCGGCTTCTCCGCACCCCCGCCGCCGCCACGCCGCTACCGCCGCCGTCCGCGCTCAACGATCCTGTCTCTGTCTCTCTCTCTCTCTTGCTCTCTCGTCTCCCCTTTCTCTCTTTCTCCCTCGCCCGCGCTCGTCTTCCCTCCCCGTGTTCCCCTCTCTCGTCCCCCGTTCTACGTACCCACTTCAACCCCCCCAGTACGTGTTCCGCAGTCTCTTCCCGATTTCTCGCTTCTCTCGTTGCGGCGAAACGGGGCCTTTTTACGCGCTTTGATGTCACACACCAACACGTATATACGTCCCTCCGCGAGAGATATCGATGGCGAGAGAAATCTGTTAATATGATTAAAATCCGCGAACAATCCCGACTCGGTTAATCGAGTATATATTCTATTCTATATATTGACTGCAAACCCGTGCGAGACACGGGAGTGCCGAGAACAATCGCTTGTTTAGTTCGATTCAATTAAATTAGTAACGACACTCGGAAGGTAATTTCCCGCGATTGCTCCTTGGATTTATCATTGAAATTTATCCATTTCTTTTTTTTTTTAAGTAAATGAAATTTCACGGAAAATTTATGCAGTTTCGTCGTCATGCAGAGTAATTCCTTACACAAAAGTAAATTTCAAGAGTGACAAGCGAGCTGCCCTTACCCTTTCGATCGCGATGGAAAATAACGCACGGAGGAATTAGGAATTTGTCGCCATATAAACTCCGGCGACAATAAACTTTCCGAAATAAACACATTGCGATCGCGATTAAAAGTGTCGCGTCGCTGCATTGCGTTCCCCCGCGGGCGATCGCCCGCGCTTCCGGTCGCGCGCGGTCACAATCGTAACTAATTGTTATTGTTCCTTGTCGCGCGACGCGCAGCGAGAGAGCGCGTGGCTTATGTCGCCGCCGCCGGGGTGATATAGCGCGTTGTTTATCGGCCGCTAGATAGAAGCGACGACGCGCGGGGGGAAAGGGGGGGGGGAGGAGAGGCCGATGAGAGGGTGGAATGGGAGAAGCGTGCAGAGGTTGGAATTGTAAAGATTACGGGCCGATGTTTATGCATTTATGCTGAGTTATTGTCGGTGCGGCTTTACCGATGTTTATGCTGATTTACGCTTTGTGCTATCTGCCGGGACACATTGTCCCCGGAATTATTATTCCGCGGTCGCGGCGGCGGCGTTCCGCCAACCGCGCCCCCTCCCTTCCCTCTTCCTCCCCCCCGCGCGCGCCGCGCCACCCTCTCCGCCCCTCTCCGCGTCACTTTTCATCTATATAGCCTTTTGAAATTTTGAATTTTGTCCACACGGCAGATTCATCACTCCGCACTTCCGTAGAAAACGATCGGCACCGTGTGAAAATCTGTCTTTTAATTATTACGAGGGTTTTTTTTCGTCACCGCGTGCGACAAAATGGCTGAGGCCTTAACGGACGGAACAGTCTGCGAGTCGCAAGGAAGAGAAATCGCTGAATGAATATTTCGCGTTATAGAGGATACCTATAAAACAAAACATCAAATTATGAATATCAAAATTGATACTTTCTTATCAAAATGTGCCGGAGTAAATATCTGTAGTGAACTGTTGATGATTATTATTTTGTTATAGCTCTATATTAATATTTTTATATGCAGAATAATTAAAAGAATCATATTTTTTTCAAAATTATACAATTTCATTTAAGAAAATGGCGATGACTTTTATATAATTCTAAAAAGTTCTTTTTTTTTTTTAATTGATCATTTGTTGCTCTCCAGATCACACAATCTTTGAAAGATTTTTGTCTCCTGCAGACTTCAATTTTCGACATGTTTCAGCGTTTTGTTTTAAATACTCCACTCTGTATACATCATGTTGATTCAAAATCACATTTATTAAAAAAAAAAAGAAAACGTGTGGTTACACTGAGAAAAAAAATTGTTGATTTAAAAAAATATTTCATTCAACTAAATGCGGCGGTCACGCACTGTCAAGCAAACATTTGTTAATTCGCAAAAATATCATGTTAATGATGTATGTTATATCATGTTATTGATGTATGTTTAATTCAAAAACATATATAATTGAATCAAAGAAAAACAACAAAATGCATTTAGTTATTTTAACAATTTTTTTTCTCAGTGTAGTTTACGTATAGTTATCGCGACTTAAAGCAATAACGGCGGCGATGATAAAACGACTTTGCTTTCGCTAAATACTGACGGCGCGAAGTAAATGCACCGCCGCTGTTATCATCCCTCGTGCCCCTCCGACTGCATTGTCCTGGCGGTTTCCGGCGAAATTCTTCGCGACGCGACCGCGGCGCCGTTACGAAAAAGCCCCCGCGCGTATCTCCGAGCCCCTCCCCTCCCGTCGCCCCTCTTTTCTTTTTTTTTTATCTCCACGGGGTCGAGGCATAAATAAGCGCTACGTTTGTGCGCCTCTTGGGTACATAATGGTGTATTATGTGTCGGAGATACCGCTGGTTCCTCTCCCCCTCCCCCCCTCGCCGTCGCGCCAAAGGGGAGGAGGTGTGTGTGTACAAGATACTTACTGCAAATACCTATGGTGTCCCGTATCGTGTTCTAGAAAACGGTGATAATACGTCCCATTGTACGTGGGAACACCAGTTTATAAAAATTGTGGAGAGAGAGGTGTTAGCGCGCGCGATAATCGATCGAGTCGCGCTGGGGAAACATAAACACGATAAAAAGAAAGACACGTGAATATACATGGGAACAGGGCGTTTTCCAAGTAAGCACTGACGATCAGCTCCATTTCTCGGGCTAATCACAATTTTCACGGTCCCATGGAGAAAAGAAAATTTTGATTTTTCCCTTTGACGATTAATACAAGTTCAGCATCCGAGGAGCTCAATTAAATGATACGATAATATAGATATACGATACGATAATACATGGAAAGAACAATTTTGCTGAATCCAGATCTGAAAATAATTTTTGTTCAATAATCAAAATTATTTTGTGCGAAAGTCAAAATGATTGCTAGAATATCAAAACGTTTTACAGCAATACTTATCAGTTTTAACATTCCAACAAATTATTTTGATGATTCAATAAAAAATTATTTTCAGATCTGTTTTTAGCAAAATTTTTAGGTCTTTCAACAAAATCGTTCTTTCCACGTATATAGAAATGTATACGTACAATCGTTGGGTGAAATTAGAATAGGGTTATTATGCATCCCCTTTATTATTTATTTCTGGCGACGGTTGGTACTAATAGTGTTGTGTAAAAGTACATCTGTCTTCGAAACATTCCAGTGTGTTGCAAAATGCAAATCAATGCAAAATTCACAGCATACTGGAATGTTTTGAAGACTCGATCTTCATCTTTTACACAACAGATTGCACATCAGCATCAACCGTCGCAGAAATAAATAATAAGGGAAGATCATATTACCTGCAGTGGTCATAATACTCGTACCTATTCTATAGTAGAGCTCTCGCATAACGATTCTTGCCATCATGGAGGGGGGGGGGGATGGTCATGGAATTACGTTGTAGACCCATCGCAAAACCAAACTATCGCGTTCTCAGTTGCGAAACTATTCAATTAAGCCGTACCCTTCCCCTATGACGCGTGGAACCCTTCTCGGCTGTTCCTTCCCCTTTACTCAGCGGCGTATAACGACATCGGATTCAGCGGCGTATTTACGATAACGACGAGCTTCAGTGAATCCGCGTCGAATGAGAAAATTGGGCAGAACAAAGTTAAAAGGAAATTATTAATAATAAATTTCCGAAAGACGGAACACTTTTTTCTTTATTAAGAAGGCGATCTATCTTGCAAATGTAAAAGTTTCTGACTCTTCTTTAAACTATTGAGTTCGAATTTTTATATACTAATATATTTGTTGATATTTTAGAAATGTATAAAATTTTCTATATGTTATAAAATTAATTATTCTGTTATTCTACAATGTTAACTCATTGCAAAAAAATCTTTCTTGCTGATGAAGATAAAGCGGTTTCCAAACAAAATTCAAATTCGGCATTTCAATTTTTATTAATTTACTAATCTTTGTTAATCTACAAAGCAAATTACAATTATTGAGAAAACTAAACATATTTTTAAAAGCCTTTCTAAATTAAAGAAGCAAAAGTTATTCAATCGAGCAGTCAATCTTTAAATTAAAAATAACTATAATTGCGTAAAACACATATTGCAGATTTTGCAATATGGGTTAACAATTGAATATGTGAGGGTAACAGATTTTATTATAATTTACTTTGGAGAAAAACTTTTTTTCTATGAAAACATAAAACTTGAGGACGATTACTAAACTGATTATTAAATTACCACTTTTAATAGTATAATGAAAAATATGATTGCGAGAAAAACGCGTTAAAATTTCACGTGAAATTCTTTATCATAATTTTTTAATCATTTTTTTTGTATCATAATTATTTACTGCTCGATGGCCGGGCACGTGCAACATCTAGAAAGCACGAGAATGTCAAAGAGAGCCTTAATGGCGAATATGCACAAAAGTCCGAAAGGGAGACCGAGGGCGAGATGGAAGGATGGCGTGGCTGCGAGGACGATGTTAAATGTGGGGAATTGAAGGCGTTGTGCGACAGATCGTGACGTCTGGAGGTTGACCAAACTTCCGGAGGCCATGGCTCGATTTGAGCTATAGCGCCACTGGATTGAATTGGATTGAAATTATCTACTGCTATTGTATCATAAATTAATTCTTCTGCTTCGACAAAAAATTTGTTCAGCTTCTTTCTAACGCACTCATTATTAATTATGTAAATAAATAATAATTAACTCATTTATAGAAAAATTATTATTAGAGAATTAAAATAAGATCAATGTCCATATAAGTATATATGTCCATACGAAAAACAATTATACATTTTATGCGCTTTTAATGTTCTCCACACGTCCATAATTGAACTTTTTATGCACTTCAATCATTCTTCAGCTAAAACTATTTTCAACTTTTACCGAGACCATCCTCAATCAGTAATTAAAATGAATTACCTATTAGTCTAGATTTTCTATAAGGACTTACTGAAGCAATGGGCTAACTAATATTTCATAAAAATGAACTGTAAAAAGTTAAAGTGAGAAAAGTACATCTGTTTCTATCAACATCACATATTCAATTACGTTAACCCATTGTTGTAGTAAGCTCAGTTGTTGTGATATCCATCACTTTTATAATTTTTTAAATTAGTCCATGCCCAACGTTAAAAATGCAGCTAAACGGATTACGACTTGAATAATTTTTTGTCCTGAAAATAAATTTTGGACAAAATAAATTTGTTCTTAGTATTAATTGCATATTGTGTGAGCAACAAATTATAGTGAGATAATTAAAACAATTTGATCAACTTTACATTATATTGTGAAGAACCAAATTAGCAAGACAGTTAATTAAAACCATTTACCAAGTTTAAGACCTCTACATCTAAAAAAATCAAGTAGACGTTTACTTGAGCTTTTCTTTTACATTTATTCGAGAAATATAACGCGCGCTTTTATTTTTTTACGACTTGATTTCTTTAATATTAACTTCATTAATTTCTTTAATTTTGACGTAGACTTTTACGAATATAATTCTAAGACTTCAAACTTTCAAAATATGCACGAAAAAATTTTACTTTTTTCAAGATGGTAACCTTAAACCTTCGTAAATCAGGAACTTCTATTTCCATTATACAGAAGATTTGCATCTCTAATTCAACACATTTAAATACACGGTAGTATGCTAAAATGTTTGCTACGTGTTAATTTGTTGATCATTGCTACAGCACAATTACACAGTCATGTCAATACAAAACGACAATACTCGAACAAAATTTCCAGTTGAATCTTGCAGTACAATGTTACAAATTATTAACCACTTTTCAGAGCTCTTCATATGAAAGAGCACCCCGACTACAAGTACCGGCCGCGCCGGAAACCGAAGTCCCTGGTGAAGAAGGAGAACAAATTCGGCTTCTCGATATCGCCGCTGATATCGCCCGGCGACGGGCTAACCAGCCTATCGCGCGGTCTTCTACCGCCGTTAACGCCACCGACGCATCACCCGCTGATGTCGCACGAGGACCTGAAGATCCCGCGCTTCTTCCCGCCGTTCACCTACCCGCTCTATCCGTTGCAGCACAAGCTGAACGACGACTTCAACGGCGGCAAGCTGGCCGCCGATTTGGCCTTGCAGGCCCTCTACACCGGCAGTCCCTTCTATCCGAGCCACCAGGCGATGCCCTGGCCGACGGGCCTCTCGGCGGCCGCCTGTTTGCAGCCCAACTGCAGCTGCCCGAGCCCGCCGAAGGAGCCGAAGAGGCCGTTTCCGCCGTCTAAGATGGACGACCCGCCTTTCCCGAGCCCGGCGAGGGCCGACGACGACGCCGTCGCGGAGCGGGAGGAGTCCCGGTACCGAAAGCTCGAGTTGGACTTTTCCGCCAGTCTGGAGAGCCACCACCATCATCATCACCATCACCATCATCATCAGCAGGAGGACCGTTCTCAGGATCGTTTCTCCTCGTCCTCCTCCTCGTCGCCGCCCACGGAGCAGCTGGAGAGATCGTCGACGACAACGACGACGATGACAACGACGACGTCGTCCTCGTCGTCCTCGACGTCGAGCGGCCGGGTCGACAGCGCCTTCTCCGTTCAGAGCCTCACGTCGACCTCCAGCAGCTCGAATTCGAGCTCGCAGCGCGGACACGTCATATGAAGGCCGCTCCCGGTTCTCCCGGACCTGAACTTCCGGGGGAGCCTGATGCCGGCCGCGTGGCCGACCGCCGACTGGTGGCGGGTGGCCCCGATGCTCTCTCCGATCCCGCAGACGGCGGTCGTGAACCTGAGCACCGGCGTCGTCAAGGAGGACGCCGTTCACTTCCAGGACGAGCAGCAGAGGACCTCGACGGCCGTGTCCAGGTCGCCGAGGAACGGCGTGCACATCGCCAACGTGCAGTGATCCTAATCGTGAACGATCGCCGAGAGTCGCGCGCTCTCTGGATATCTCGCGACCGGAGAAGTGAGCCAGTGTTGTTTCTTGGATAAATCGAGAACGCTCTCTACTTTCAACGAGGACCCCGTTGTATTTTTTTTTGCAGTTTTGACGAGCTCTTTCGGAGCAAACGTAATCCGTATAACTATAGCGAAAAACGACGCGTACCTATATATGAAGGACGAAGTGCCCGCGCCTGAAAAATATATATCCGGAATCGGAGGAGTAGGCCGTATATCGGAGAAATAGCTTCGCGACCGAAGCGGTCGGTGCTCTGGCGAACGGAAACAGAAATCGATAACCTCTCGGCTATACGGCCCCGAAATCCCACAAAGGGCGGACGCAAAGGGTCCTCTCGACCGGATCGTGCACGCGAAGCTGGATGCTAGAGAAGTCCAATTCTGATGAGATAACCAACCCTCTCACATGCCACATATTATGGGGCGGGCGGGCGCGCTCGATGGAGGAGGAGGGGGGGAGGGGAGGGGGGTGGACACGATGGGGAAGGGAGGAAAAAAAGCTCTTCCGGCGGAGGCAAATCTCTTCTTTGGAACGCGGCCGTGCGAAATAAGCCTGAAACGTTCTGAATGCTAACGTAGAGAGACGCGTACGAACCCCCGACGACGCGGTTTCGTTGTATCTCGCGCGGGCGTCGCGCCGCGCCGCGCCGCGCCGCGCCGGCTTTCGCGTCGACGAGAAAGCGGCGAAAGCATCGATAACAGCGAAATGGAAGACGCGTGGCTGGCTGTGCGAACACTAGTCGACGCGAATCCCTTTCTTAAATATTACAGGAAAGCCAGAAAGACGTTTTCGAACGTTGCCAGTGTGTTATATTACGTTCTGTCTCGCGCTTGATTTCGTCGATGTCGTCTGGTAGCCCGTAATAGCGAGCAGGATTAAGTTCTTGATTCCTCTGTAACTTCTGCGCGGAGCATCTTATGCAACATTGTAACCGACGTGTTTGTTAATATTTTAACGATTTAATTTATTGAGATTAAAAGGGGCTTCACCCTGATCGCGTTGGCGAAGAAATATAATTTGAAGAATGAATGGAATGAAAAGTAGGACGTTTGATTGTTATAACACTTGGAGGAAAACATAGTGATAGTAATTATAAAGGTGACAACTATACAAATTTTATATGTAGAATTAATGTACATAGTTAAACAAATTAATATAGATACACCCTGTATAAACACACCCACAGGGTGGGACATCTAAAACAAAACAGAAATATACCGAAAATTAAACCCGGTAGGTAAAAATGTTACAGAAAGAAGTTGTATAATTTGAAGCATTTTCTTCGCGTGTCACATACGCTTGTCAGCGTGTAGGCGGTCTCTTTTGCATATATACCCGTATAGATATATGGGACCTACAGTTTTAACGTCGATTCCGAACGGCCTATTAAAAAAGATTCTCTTGGCAGAGGTACTCTGGGTAATTTGCTATTGCTTTCCGAGAAGGCGATCGCTTTCAAATCAATTAAAACCGCAATTTAGGCCCGGTTTCAAAATTCGCGGTCAACTCGATTTAACCGAAGTTCAACTCGGTTTCTAAGAATTATATCCATTTCTACTATAATGGTGATTAACTTTAATCTCGGTTTAACTTTACTTTCTCTCTTGCTTTAGTTCTAAGAATCAAAAAGATAAAAAGCACGTTAAACCGCGATCAAAAGTTAATCTACGTTAATATAAATGGACATTAGAAAAAGATAAACAATAAGTTAAACCGAGATTAAAGTTAATCTTATATTTGTGTTAATTTTACAACCGGGCCTTAAAGATATATTGTTTTGGGTGGATTTGAACCTGAGTCTTTGGCATAGAAAGCCAACGCGCAACTCTTCGCGTCACGATCGCCACCTGATTTGAAGCATATTGTGCATAAAATGTATTAAGATATAATTATCGAGAAATCAATGATTTATGAGATATTTCATATTTTATATCAAAATGTGGCATGATAAGGTGTACAATAAAGTTTCATAAAGTATTGATTTTTCAATAACTTTACTTAATACTTTTATATGCAAAATAATTAGAGAAGAATCACATTAGATAAAGAAAATCATCATTCTATTTAAAAAAAAAGTGGAGGTGACCTACATACATGTCTTTGAAAAATCGATTTTTTCGGAAAATTGATTTTATTTCATTATTTGCCCCCTTCGTCTCAAGGCTCGGGTTCACGCTCGATGCCGGGCCAGGACTTTGCGAGAAAGAGCGAAATCAAGATCTTCAGAGGCGGCCCATGATTATACTTTGTATGAAGTACTCGTTAAGTTTGTTATATTATTTTGTATATTCGAAACATCTCGCCGTGCGAGAGAACAGCATGCACCATCCCAGGAGGGACATCAAAGGATACGAAAGTGGAAAATTCACGGGCCGGAACAGCGAGATAGAAAAAAGCGTGTGCAAACTGAAAAATGTGTGCGCGGCGGCCTTAAGAAACGAGACACAGAAACACCCGACAACTGGGGCTGTCCAACTGGTCGCTGCAAAAAGAGGCCCCTGGATGCAAGAATGCCGAATACTCAGCAACGGGAAACCAGGAGCGAAAGACCAACCGTCCACTGAGTAAAGGTGCGATATATACACGCCCCACGCAGGAAGAATTCTGGCAGCGTCGCGGAGCCGCGAAGCACCCACGGATAAGCTCGACCGCGTAAACGCCGCAAATGGGACCACGCGACGGGCCTTACTTATATTTGGCTGCGGCCACGCAGCATTGTACACCCTCGAGCAAGGGGTCTCCCTATCAAACGCGATCAACGGCGCTTCTACGTACGGAATCCCGGCAGAGAATGAGATAGCGCGAGAGACAGGACAAGAGAGAGAGAAAGAGAGAGAGAGAGAGAATCCAGAAGAGGAAATCCCAGCTCGGATGGCGAGCTGCCTGGTCGAAGGAGGCAAAGGAGCCGACGAAGGAGAGCGGAGAAGAGCGTATCGGTGAGATAGCCCTCTGTCTAAAAGTCGTGTAAAACCATACGAGCAAGTCGAGGAACACGCCAATCGCGATACTGTTATTCATGCGAATCAGAAATCCAAAGGCGGACAGGAAGAAGAAGTCGCGTTCACGTTCTGTGATCGATTTTGTCCCGTTTAATTTTGCCGCGTCCGCCTTTACGGAGACGCAATATTTTTGCGGTTTTGCGTGAGCGATTGATCTCAAGCGTGAGGGGCCTCTACCTCGCATTGCTGCAGTCGGCTAGCGGGAGTGCGGTTCGAAATTCCGTGTGACGAGCCGCTTGAAGATCGTGGCCGTGGGTAAAGCCTTAACAATGAAAAGGAATAGGGAACAGGGAATAAGAGCTTCACAAAATTATTATTTATCGACGAAAGCCCGAATGGGGCCGAAACGTGCGAGTTAGGAAGTTGAAGAATATGTAAAATAATGAATAAATTTATATAAGAATTTTTATGCATCAAGTTCTGCATGTTGACTCGTATTTGCTTTTTTTTATTAATTAATTTGTATTTTTTTAATAAGAATTTTAACCTATCTGCAGAAACCGTGTATTCCATAGTATACGGTTTCTCAAAAGTTCGCCATGCGCGTGACAATATGTGTAGTTGAATAAACTTTTTTATTGCAACTGTAAAATAGTTTATCAACTGTGTACATTAATTCGATATATGTAAAAAAAAACTTGTACATTTGTGACCTTTATAATTGCTACACTACATCTTTTTCTCTGAGTACGTTTATTGATGTATATAATTTTACATCTGAAAAAATATAAAATAAAAAAAAGAATGCCAATTTTTTATAACAACCAAGATGAGAAAACGAATACAGTCGAAGCGGATCTTGGCGTTTAATAATATTTTTATATGTGAATTTTACAATTTTCAGTTTAAGTAAACAACGTGCCGTATAATCTTCGGTCTTAAAACACAGCTCTAATTAAATAGTTCGTAATATCATAATGTGGGAAGTGATTTTAAAGCCCTTGTTTGTGTGTGATAAATAATAACAGTCATTGACACTAAACTCTATTTCGATAGCCTGCTATTTACATTCAATCAAACAGCATTGATTCCGTAACTTCGGTTAGGTCTGGGCTTAAAAATCCCAGTTTCCTCTTTATGAACAATAAGTATTTCACGTAATGTGGTTGTCAGCTACAATTTTTCCAACTTAATGAAGAAAACACTTTACATACATTACAAATTAAATTGATAAAGCAATTTAATAATTCGACAATTAAGTATCTGACCATGGAATGTTTCAATCTAAAATGAGAAAACGCTAACACGAAACGGATCTTGATGCTTGATATATAATATAATATTTTCATATGTGAATCTTATAATTTAATAATTCGATACTAACGAGCATCTTTCAAAATTTTTTATACTTTCCATAAAATGTTCACGAACCTCTCCGTTTTGGGCAAAAGGCTCCAAAGGGCTTAATCTAAAATTTGACAAAATTCGAATATTTTTTCCAAATAGATGTATTATTTATCGGCATCTGGGCGATAAAAAGAAGAGGTAAAAGAAAGACACGTTTTCCATTCCATTCATTCGCTAAATTTTTTCGTCGAACCGTCAGGACCGATAAGTCCCTTAATTCATATAGTACCAGACACGCACGATACGTTTCGTACGATCTTGTTTTTGTTATATGTGTAAGGATTATTGTTGACTTGTTAAGGCGAGTTGTAACATTATCGTCTCGTTCGTCGAGAGTAATCCGCCGAATTCTCCACC